CCCCCCCCAGCATTTTGCTATGGCTTGTTGTTCTGATAGTTTTCGTTCATTTTGGTCTGTATCTTTCTAAAATGCCTCTTTGGACTTTGGTATATTGAGGAAGATACCAGGTGACAGTAGAAATGAATTAAGCTTGTGAGATGTCATTGATCGTGCTTATTTAGTGCAGTAACTTTGCTGCTTATCCCGTTGAATTAGTGGAACTCACTATTTCAAAATTTGTTTTTGACTTCAGTAACTAAAAGCCGACCTGCTGCTGCTTCTCCACATGCCACTGTCATTTCTCCTCTGTAGTGCCTTACAGTTTGAAGTTTCTTTTGTTTTATTCTGAAGTATTTATTTTTTGACAAGCGTATATACTTGTGTTGGCAAATACTGCATTGTAGTAATGTGAATTTTCATTTATCAGGCAGCTTTACAGTCCCAGAATGTTTTTAGTTAATGGATCAGATGCTGTCAAACAGATTTTGGCAAAAATTGCTTTGTAAAATTCACTGACTTCTTAATGCTTTCCTCCTGATGGTACTTTGGCACAGTCCCCTTCCGAAAGTACGGCAGCTGAAAATGCTATTTTTTTGGCTGTTAAATAATTTTTGCGGGGTGTTTGAGGTGAGCGTTCAACAGAAGCAAAATCACTTTGTAAAAGAGCTTCATTTGATACACTTAATGCTCCAACTGCCTTTCTAAACGCATTTTTGCAGAATGCAAAGCCTCTGCGCGTTGAAAATGTCAGCAGAGCTTGAATTACTGGTCACGTGCTGGATTGAAAACAGTAAAACATTTCGAACTGCAGCAGCTGAAGGGAAAAGGTGAAACATGCCTGCTCTATAAATAGCTTATGTAGTGAACGCACGCTTTTCTGTCTGTAACTCTTTTGTTGTCTTTCAATAATAATGAATGAGCTTTTTAGTTTAAAAGTGAAACATCGGTCATCTTGGAATGGGTAAATATTTCCAGCAGAGGTTTGTAACTTTGTGTAAAAGAGGGATTTTTCTCTTTGAAGAGAAATACGTATTTGGAGTGAGAGCTTGCAGCTTTTAGCTGAAGATACTTTTACTGCTCCTTGGGATCTGTTAGTGAAATGTCATTTCTTCGAGTCCCCGCACAGGTGATTCCTTTTGCCTTCTTCCAGGAACATGTAACATCTCTCTTCTTGGCAGGCTATAAAATACTGCTGGTGAAAGCTTTCTAGCAAAGCACAGTGTGTCAATTTTTTACCTGCTACTAACTTTTCATACTTTATTTGGAAAATATTAGAGGGTTAGGTTAAAAAAGATGAAAGCTCTATCTGTGGGAGGGGAACAACCCTCCCTGTTGAGTACTCTGCAGTGTTGGGCGCAGTGGAGAAGGTGGCATTTGATGTTTCGTAGGTTAAATTATAACAGCCCTACCAGGGCTTCTGAGCTGAAATTTCCTGAATTGTTTTCTCTGCTGTGTTTTTTTTCTGAAAATGTTTTAAAGGTCCTATTTACTAACAACAATTTCTTTCTTTAAAAACGCAAACAGAAAAAGAGGAGGAAAAGAACGTTTCATAACTACCAGGCATAGTACATTGTTGCAGCATAGTTCATACAGAGCTTCTACATTTTAGCCTGCAAAGGAGCTGATGTTTTTGTTTAAACGCTCTGTAATTTAAGAAGGGTAGGTTAGGTAACTTGACTGTATTAGTGCTGTCATTGTTAGACCAGGATCCCTGTTTATAAATGTTGCTGCTTGTAACATGAATTCTCAAAAAATCTCAGTGGAGAGGGAAGGTGAGCTGTGTTTGTGTCTGAACAGTGTAGGGACTTAAAGGTAGGCCTGCTGTTAACTGTAAATATTTCTGGAGACATTCATCTTTCCAGGAGGGTTTTGACTTTTTTGAATGCTTGAATTATATACTGACAAATTAAAAGTGATAATATTGTTGGAGTAGCTGGTTGGGCTTTTTTTTTTTTTTTAAATTGGTTTAATAGAAAATCTTTCATTGGGCCTTTTTGTATATTTTTCTATGGGAGTTAATAGGAGTTCAGGTACTTAGAGTAGGAAGGAGTGGGGTCAGGCCCTTTCAGTGTTCAAGTGTTAAGCTTTTCTTCAGCTCATAGATGAGAGACGGTTTTATGTATGCTTCATAGGAAAGTGATATTAAAAAGAAAAATCTCCTGTGCGGTTTCTTTGGGACAACCAATCCAATTTGCACTTACTGGGAATTAGCCTGAAATAAATAGAGCTGGCTAAGTTCTAACAAAGTCTCTCTTTTTGAGAGAAGGCACCCACGGGAGCATGCCTACTTAAAAACCAAAGGGAAAGGCAGAGGGAGGAGCTCATGATGTGAGGGGCAATTCCACTCCCTTTCTCTGTGCAAGTGTTGAGTGAAGACAAGAGCAAGAATGTACGCCTGGGCTTGTTCGTCCGCCCCGCTTCCTCTCCGTGCAGTTTACAGCTTACTGCCTTTTCAGCCTCTAGTCTTAACTACTTTAACTGGTAAACATCCTCTTGCAAAGTCGAGGTCAATGTGTGCATATGACCTTCTTCAGGGTAGAGTATCAGAGTACTGCAGTTGAATGTAATCCAAACAGTGATGCTGAGGGCACAACCTGCTCTGAAATGTACAGCATGAACAAATGGAAAAAATGAGAGATTTTCCTCTTTGTTTCCTGTAACTTGAAGAGCTTTTAAAAAAACAATTAGAGATACAACATTTTGGATTAGAGCGATGTATATTCTTCTTTTTTTTTCTACCTAATTTTCATGTGATACTGCTTCCTACAATACACTTTTCTGGTATTTCAAGAATACTAAATCAGGTTTGGACTTTAAGGGAGTGTGGTTTTATATTATTTCCATTATAAATAATTAATGTATAACACCTTACTTGTAGTGTCCATCCCAGATTTTATATGCACTGTCTGTTCATGTTTAATACTGGTACGACATATGAAATTTAGTTGTATTGCTCTGTATCTATGCCTCTGACTTAATGCTTTAGCCAAAAATCAATGTCATGCTTATGTAAAATCCAAAACAAACCCCCAAATTCTGCTATTCAATGAAAGTATTGAGAGCCAAACCTGGGCCTTCATGTTGGGCAAACAGAGGTGGGTTGAGGTCTGATCTTCAGAGTTGGAGACCTTGGTTCAATAGGGTGCTGTGTTGACTAGTGGCATCTTTGCTGAAGCGAACACCTTTCTTATGGTATACCACACCTTCTTACAATACAAGAAAACCTAGCTCTTTTGCCTTGTGCTTTATTATGCTGAATGGAAAACAGAACCATAACGCAGACTTCTGAAATCATGCATGCGTGTCTCATTCAGTATTATAAATCTGATATCGTGAGTATTGGTAACTGTAGTAGTTTCCATCTCCAAAGAGCTACACAAACATAGCCATCCTACTGGATCGCTTGGGTGAAGGTGAGCTTTAACCTGAGCTCAGAGGTGGGAGAGGTGAAAGCAAAGAAGTTAAGTGACTTGTGTCAGGGAGTCAGTGACAGAGTTGAGACGAGGACCTGGGCTTGTGCCACTAGAGTGCACTACTTCCCTCTTACTTATTGAGAGAATGGTTAATTTGCTGGTAGGTGCTGCAGGCTCCCTGGTGGGGGGTTTGGAAAATTGCTGCCAACTTGCGGAGGTACTCAGAGTTTCACGTTGATCTTAATCGGATGCATCTCTGCTTCTGCAGCTATCATTTACCAAATAAATGTTTTTCTTACTATCAAACTTTTATGAATGTTGTGATGGAATGGCAAAGACGGCTTGTAAACTAGCTTTTTACCCCCCTTTTGATTTTATTGGAGATGAAGGGTATGTACGAAAGAAAGGGTTAATCGTATTTGTAATTAAAGCAAGTTCTTTAAGATATATAATTTCTCAGAAATGGATGATGGCTTTTACTTTTTTAATGAAAGATTCTTGATAATGAGGTAGTAGTATTTTACTTATATTATTAAGTTCTCTTTTTTTCCCCGCACAGGTTTCCACTTGAGTGGCACAGTGACAGAGCCTGCAATGCAATCGGAGCCAGAAACTGTTTGCAATGTAGCTATCAGCTTTGATCGTTGCAAGATTACCTCAGTGACCTGTAGCTGTGGAAACAAGGACATATTTTACTGTGCCCACGTTGTGGCACTCTCTTTATACCGGATCCGCAAGCCAGATCAGGTCAAACTGCATCTTCCCATTTCAGAGACACTCTTAAACAGAGACCAACTACAAAAATTTGTACAGTATTTGATCACAGTGCACCACACAGAGGTTTTGCCAACTGCTCAAAAATTAGCAGATGAAATTCTTTCTCAGAATTCAGAAATCAATCAAGTCCATGGTGAGTTTGATACTTCTTCCTCCTTTTGCTTCATTCCTTTTGCTTCCATTTGCTTCTTCGGTTTTGAGCTTTTTTGCGGCATTCAGGAGTGTGACCTGCTGAGGTACCTTCCAACCTGAATTATTCTGTGATTCAGTAGTATTTACTAAAGAAGATTCTGTTATTGAACCTTCGCTTTAAGATGTTTAGAAAGCAGTACCTTTTGGAAAAAGAATTCGTAAGCAATGAGCTTGATGTCTCCAGCACTACTAATCTGTGGCCTGATCTGCTTCACGCTTGTATTTTCCAGCTATGTAAAACTGAGTAGTGGTGTTCTTTGTATAGCCACATTGCTTGAAGGAACTGTCTTACCAAAGGCATCTTTTTGTTATTTTGTTCTTTTTGAACTAATCTTCTGACACTTTGATTGTGTAATTTTGTTTTAATGGCAAGGCAAAAAAGCAAGTAGGTGTTACTGTTGTTTTCATTCATTAAATATACTTTTATTATCCTTGGGATTTGGTTTCTGTATGAAGTCAGGAGAAATATAAAACCTGCATTTCAATGCCTTTTTCCTGTTACTGCTGCAACAGCCTACAGCATCAGCAAAGGTCTTGATCTTTCCTGCTCTTTCTGCTGCACATGGTTTTAATGGCTCTCAGTTTCTTGTACTGAACATCTTACGTTTGTTAAAGGGTGCTGGGTGTGACTTGAGGCTTCTGAGGTGGCTTTTCTATGGACCGTGCTGAACTGGAAGCAGGTAATTGTGGGTTTGAGGTGACCCAGCTAGTTTATTAGTCCTGTGTTCCCGTAAGGTCACCTGATAGAAATGTCCTCTAAGGTGACCAGAGCTGTAAGCGTAAGGAGCAGCTTAGAGGGGAAGAATAAGTTATCTAAATACCTAAAAATATCTTTTTTGTTTGTTCATTGACAGGAACAGTTCTTGAGTTTTAGATATTTAAGAGGGATGACCATTATTCCAAAGAATTGGCAATACAAACACAACCAAGCTGCTTATTATTAGAGAAAGACAGACACGTGTGTGTTCAATGTAGCGTAGGCAGAACAAAAGAAGGGAGTTCTTCCAATAACAGGACTCACCTGCAGCCCAGCCCCTCTCCTTAGGGTCCGCTGGCCCTGGCAGGCCCAGGCAGGCCATACTGCAAGAAGGTGAATTTCAGGAGCAGGGCTCTTTTTTGGCTTTGGGGGCTATGGGGATGTGGCCAGAGGCAAGGTGGTTGTTCTAGTTGTTACGGAAAATAACAAGAAAGTAATTGCAGAGCTGCCTGGTGATGGTGGAAAGAAAGGGAAGCTAAAGCAGATGTAGGACATTAAGCAATAGAGGAGGATGCTCAGATGTTGTAAGCTGAAGGCATGTACCGCGTGAGAGTTGGTAATAGCCTGAACATAAGGAATTAAGGGGAAGGAAGAATGATGGTGAGTATGAGAGTGGCACAGAAGATTCAAACAGTCAAGGGTGATGAGAAGACGGGAAGGCAGGGGTGGGAAAGGAAGGACAGGTGATGGCTGTATGAGCTATTCTAATGTAAGAGAAATGACAAGCTGTTGCAGGGAATGCTTAAACTTGATCAACATTAAGTCTGTAATTATACTAATCATAGGCATGTTAGTCTTTGTCAGCTATTTTCTTAGTGTCAAAATATCTCATTACTCATTAGTATTTAAAGTATTTTTAGAGAGATATTTAATGTTTATATCACAGCCCAAATAGCAAAAAGAATAGGAAACAAAAAACTTAAGTTGATGATCAATTGTGAAATTTCACAATGAATTTGAGTAGGGTGGTTTAAAATTATCCACAAAACTGAAATGTTTCTTACACTTGTTGCTGTTTTCCTAGTAAATGAGATTGCAGTATGTCTTTATTGACTGTTGGCATTTCTTAATAAAATACCGAAACTGAAGTAGAAAATTCAGGCAGCGCAAGAAAATAAACTGCTATTACCAAAGAAAGCTGAGTTAGTAAAGAGGATCTATAGTTTCTTGCTTTTCCTCTCAGACTCCCATAAAACCATGGCCTGATTTTTTTTTATGTTTACAGTGTTAAAAAATTACAGGATTCTTTTAAGGAAAAAATAAGTTCCTCTGATTATGTAGCAAGTAAGCATTCTTCTGAGATTCATACTGCAATTCTGTGATTTTGATCTTTAATCAAATTCCTTAAATTAAAAACATAAAGTTAACCAAAAGAAATCTACAAAAAATAACCAGAAGAAATCTATCTGTGGTTCTAATAGCATAGGCTGGTGAACATAAGATCACCATTCACTCTGTCATATCTCCTGTGCTGCAGATGTTCAGTTTGTAATACAAAACTGTCTTGTAGAACTGTCTTTCTTTGAACCATTTAACCTCAATAAACTAGTGTTTGAAGAGGAATTATATTGAACACTGCTTGAAGGCACAGGTAAGTAAGAAGAAAAACTTACAAAAACTTGCTTATAAAAAGTAAGAGGAGACCTGGCACAGAAACACCAGAAACAGCTTTGATAAAAGGGAAGTCCTGAATCTGGAGTTGGAGGAGGAAATTTTTTTCAATGTTACCTAGAGGTGTTTTAATTTCAGGGTTGTTTTATAGAAAACTTCAGTTTTAAGATTTTTTTTTCTTTCTTCTTCTCTCATGGTAGCTGTACTAGTTCTAGTTTTCATATATTTCCAGCAATAGGCAGAAGAAATAAGCTCTCGAATACTATTTATTCGTATATAAGAATGATTCAGGATTTTGAAGAGCTCTGACCACAGCGGTCTTGTTAACTTGCTTATGAGCCGGCTAGGGAGATGGAACAACTCTGCAGTACTTTCCTTTCACAAAAGGTGAATTGGATAATTGTTCATTTGCTCAAAATTCTGTCTTATGCAGCATTCAATGGCTGGCTTTGGCCACCTTCCTTGCAAAGGAGGTTTTGGGGGGAACTAGTGAAGTGACTTACATTGGTGACACGGGTTTTGAAATGACAAATCTCTTTGAGTTCCTCGGAGGATTCAAATGATGCAATATCTTTTCTTGCTTCATTACTGAGCCTCACTGCAGGAAAAAATAAGGGGTTGCTGTTAGAAGTGCAGGAATGTGTTGTCTATTCACTAACTTCTTCAGGAGAGCTGAGTGATTTGTTGGGAAACCGCTTCTGTATTTGCCATGCTAATTATCAGTTGGTGGTGATTACATTACAAGAGTGTTTTGCATGTTTTTAGAGCACAAAAGCACCTCTTACATTTGAGAAGTTTTGTTGTGTTCCGATTTTCTCATGTGACACTGCTGCAGCTGTACATGTTCCTGATGATTTCAAAATTGAAGATCTGGGAGGTCTAATCTTCTGTACTGAAGACGACTGTAGGTATTCATACTGATACCCTGACATCTGCGCTGCGTAACTGTTGGCTTCACATTGGGTTTCAATTTAGGGATCCTGACTCAGGAAGCTGGACGTAGATTTGGATCCTGCTTAGCTGAGGCTTTCTTCCTCCATCTTAATTTTTGTACCATTGTAGCAGAGGAAGCTAGTAGGTGTATAAGGCTACGAAGAGAACAGTCAGGATGATGGATTAATAGCTGGGTTTGTCATCTTGGATCTGTCTTGTCTTAGGTATGAAACTTTCACTTAAATAAATTGGTTGGAATGTCAAACTACATTCCTGAGAATTTGAGTGGAAGTAGGAAAGTAACTGCAAGACGGGGGGGGGGAGGGAAGGCCTGTTTGCATATTAGTCTCATATTAGCATTGATTTGTTGTTATGTGCATAGTGAAAAAGAGTCTGCCTTTTATTGGTATAAGGACAGCCTAGCAAATCAATTTAATTTTTACCTTTTAAGCTGTGCTGTTTCGTGAGTGTTTAGTGCTGCTGTTGCGATCTCTGCTCTTAGAGGAATTATATGGATTTCTCGAGACTTTCTCTCAGCCTTTGACTCTCTGACTCACAAGTCATTTGCCAGTACAAAACCACATGCAGATGATTTCAAATTTAAGAGGGAGGACCTGGGAGAAAGCTGTTTAAGTACATTTGTCTTCTCAGAAGCAGAGGTACCTGGGGAGAGGTACCTTGGCACAGGGGAGACCTCATCGCGCTCTACAACTACCTGAAAGGAGGTTGTAGCGAAGTGGGTGTTGGTCTCTTCTCCCAAGTAACAAGTGATAGGACGAGAGGAAATGGCCTCAAGTTGTGCCAAGGGAGGTTTAGACTGGACATTAGGAAAAATTTCTTCACTGAAAGAGTGGTCAGGCCTTGGACCAGGCTGCCCAGGGAAGTGGTTGAGTCCCCATCCCTGGAGGTATTTAGAAGATGTGTAGATGAGGCGCTTAGGGACATGGTTTAGTGGGCATGGTGGTGTTGGGTTGACGGTTGGACTTGATGATCTTAGAGGTCTTTTCCAACCTTAAGGATTCCGTGTGATCTGTGCTTTGGTGAAAACCAGCACTGTGCCTTATTGAAAAAAGGGAGTTTTCTGTATTTGTCCAGGCAGATCTACGTACATCCTCTGCAAACATTAATCCGTAACATATATTAGGAGTGTCGGTGGAGGCATTCAAGAAGGAAACATCTGTCCAAAAAATTGCTTTAAAAGAAAATTTCAGAGTATCTAGTACTGTTCCTATATATCGTAGGCTCCAAAGGGCAATCCGGAGGTTCAGGTGGATATGTGTTAATATAAACTTAGTGTGTTTAACTGAAATGATGGGGATTTTAGTGGAAAATTGTAGGGTAAGATAGGGCTGAAAAACAGAATACGATGTATTGGTGATCTACTAGAAAGGGAATGTTTAACGTTAAAGAAACTACATTATTAAAAAATGACGGAATCTTTCATACGGCTGTGCTTAAACTGGCAAAATTGATCGAGAGACTACTTGCAAAAGAAGAATGTAGGAAATGGCAGATGCGTTTCTTTTCAAGAAGGATGAAAGTGAAGTGCTCCAATGCTTAGTATGAGAATTGTTTAGTGAACCAGATTTGGTAAGGAAGTAACAAGACTAGCCAAAACTAGAGAAATTTCAGAAACCCAAGTAGAAGTAAATAAATAGTACAATGTAAAATAAAATGAAAGATTGATAGCTGCAAAATGAAGAAATAATTTATGAAATTCATATTTCTAGGAGAGTTTTTTTGAGATACATTAAAATAAAACTTATTATATAGAAAATAAATAGATTTTGTTTTGAGACATGGAACGTAAAAATAAATGAAAATAATGCATGCTAGTCTGTACTGATAGGAAAGTTCTTTCCTCTGCCGCACACAAGTAGACATTGAAACTTATTGCTATATAATGTTTGTGAAACCTGGATTTTAGCAGGAGAGGTTAGATATTGTCAGCAGATAAGTTTATACATTTTGCTGTATGTGCAGAGGGAAGGGAAAGAATTTTTTGGAAGTTAAAAACTTGTTGGGGGTTTATTAACTTTCCTCAGCAACTTAGTGTAGCCTGTCCTGTCTTCAAGTTTTCTGTTAGCAGTGGCTGCTTCACAGCAGTTGCTGGTTTTCTTTGATGCTGTGTGCCGCTGAGCAGGTGTTGTATTCCAAGAGTTCTGAAATTAAGTACAAGATGAAGTGTTTAAACTTTGAATCATTTGGGGAATCAAAGGCATAATAATGCTTTTTAATCATTAATTTTATGATCTTTGGTCTTATGTAATTATTGTTTAGAATAATTCTGAACACACTAAGTTTATAAAATCAATTACTGTTCTGTTGTGAATCAGCATACAACAGTATTGGTTTCTAGCTGGGACCATTAAATCTTTGCGTAGTACTCAGTAAGTCATGCCTTTTATTTGTAATCATTTTTCCATATCTTCTCCTTAATGCCTTTGTGGGATGACATTTAATAAAATTTAACTGATCTACAGTTCGTTTGTGTACTTAAAATAATAAGATTTTTATAAAATTAAGTTCGAAAAAGTTTCAGTATGGCTATGAGTGCGTAATTTGACATGGTTTCATTTGAAGACAACTCTTGTGATACTTCAGAAATAAGGATCAGGGAAACTTAAAGACTGTTTTCTGTTGTTTTAACCAGATTTCACTGTTGATCTGCACCTCAGTAGTTTGCAATATAGGCAATTCTTAGTCTGTTTCAGTCAATGCTCCTTGCTTTGCTTCTACTTACTCTTAGAGGTTAAATTCTCCATATACACCACCAGCTGAATGTGGTTGCTCATTTTGAAAGTGGTTGCTCTTAAAATTGCTAAGTAAATGATAAAAGTGTTTATTTTTTTTAAATGCTTCTGCTTCGTAGAACTTGGGAGTTGATTATATTTCACATGTGACCTGCTATGACCATAAATATAAAAGGCTGTTACCCTGTTTTCAAATTTTATTTGGGTGTTCGGTGTTACAAACAGTTGTGTACAATATTTCTGCTTTGATTGCTAAGATTGCAATTTAGTAATTTTAGTAAAAGAGCATGAGTAAGTATGTGTGGCTGTATCAATATACTGAGTATAAATACTTTATTTATGGTATTTAACTGTAAGGACATGATGTAAAACCTATTTCAAAGACCAGTCAAGACAGAAGTTAAAGCCAGAGGTTGGAGGGAGGGAGATTAATACGTTAGTGTCTATAAGGTGACAGAGTTTAATTACAGGTTTTCATATTTAGTATAATTATACAGTGCTTTTCACTTTCATAGTTCAAATGTGAGCTAATTTATCCTCATGACACCCCTCTAAAGCACGTAAGTAATACTTATCCCCAGTTTACAAGTGGGGAATGGGATGTGGTCTTGGTACCAAACTGAGATGCAGAGATTCAATTTAGGGCTGCCCATGTTCCTCTTTGCAGCCAAACTGTCCATCTGCCAAAGCCTCGCGGTGCCCGTGCGGGGCCACGCTGCACCCTGAGCGAAGCCACCACCTTTGGGTTGAACCTTCAGCTCTGCCTGGTATTGAGCCTGAGCCTTCCTGCTGGCTATTGCTAGGGATTAATCTCGCAGCTCCTAAGGCAGCTCCCTCCTGTTGCTTGTTCAGATAGTTTCTTGTCTACTCACCCGGTCCCATGATTTCAGAAGCAAAGAGGCAGTGTAGAAATCCTGTCTGTTGCCCAAGAGTGATCTGTGTGTGAGTGGGAGAGGAAACAGGCTAGATCAATCAGTGTTCCTCTGACTAAGTGAATGTAGTGATTCTTGAAAAGTACCAACATGAGAGACATGGAGATGGTCGTGTCTCGACCCCAAAACAATAGTGATGCGGGCCGTGGAAGCTGGGGCTTCCCCAGCGGCAACACTAGGATGCCTGGCTGCTGCTGTGGTGGGAAGGTGGTTTGGACTTATGACTGATCAGACATGCCGTCTCCATGTGTTGTTAGTCCATGGCTGTCACTGAAGACTGCCAGCAGTGTTCAAAGATCAGTGCATTACAACTGTATCTGGTGCTGGTTATATGTATACTGAAACTTCTTTATACAACCTGATTTAAAATTTTGATCATACTGAGTGTAGCCTATATAAGATCTTGTAAGGAAAAATTGCTCTGAGTCGGACTTCTCTCTAGTACTGTGCTGAACAGCATCGTAGAGCTCAGACCCTCAGCTTGCTGTCTTCAGCTTCTACAGTCTTCTAGCCTACTGGCATGAAAACAGCGCTGGCGTAAGTACAGCAATGCTGAGCCCCTGGGGAAGGTATATTTGGGATTGTGCTGGGAGAAGAGGCCTTGGTAGGGGCAGTGCTGCTGGCCCAGGGCAGTGGGCACCCTTGTTCCTGTAAAGGAACCCTGCTGTTAAAGAATCTGTGGTGGCTGTGTTGAAATTTAACCTTCTAACACAAACTGACCGATGAGCTTTTGATAAAATGTAAACAGTTGTGGAAGGAATTTTGTTTTTTCCCCTAAATAGGGAAGCTTAGCTGAGGAATCTTGGGCTATTTTTAATTCAATTTAGAAGTAGCCATACCAAGATTATTTAAAGATAAATCTCTGTTGAAGTGAGGGATAAATATAAGTGTATTTTGTATATTGGTACTTTTATATAGTTTCTTTTCACAGGTCTTTTCTCTATGTTTTAGAGCAATGAAATATTTAAACTATTTGCAAGGTGATACTGCAAACCTGGGTCTGTGCAACAGCTGCACTGCTTGTTCTTGTGTGGCTTGATTTCCCTTTTTATCTTGTTCTTTCCATCTGAAGACTTAGCTGTATGTGTTTTGTGTAGCTGACTGAATTGAAAGCCCCTTAAAACTAACAAACTAAAGGTGGAAGCACTCATAGAAGAGGAGGTTTTTCATTCCTTGGTTTTTGTACTGTCTTGGGCTTGATTCTTGTCTTCTGAGACACTGTTATGGTTCCTGTGAAAGGCAGGAGAGTTCATTCACATCTTCAAAGACACACTTTCTTATTAATCTAAATGTGTGTGTGTGTACATATATATACACACACAGCAATTCAGTGTTCCCAGCTGTAGGCTCTGAAGTTGGAGGCAGTTTTGGAAGTTGCTGAGCTGGAAGATTTTTTTTTTTAACTCTCTCAAGAACTAGTAGACAAGACATCCTTCTGACTCTTTAAATCTTTCGATTGTATTTCATTGAATAAATATTCCAGCATTCCCTGCGAATGCTTAAAAGCTTCACCTACATGGCAGAGCTGCAATTGTGAAGGCTTGAATCAATAGAATCAGTGTTTAATTCCTATACATCTGAAGAGTTGTAGCTATCTTTGCATTTCAGGTTCTCAGGACTTCTTTGAAAAAGCACGTTTTTACAAATCTGATTATGAAATTTTACTTCCCTGCCAATGTCCCTTTTTTTTGTTTTGGCTACAGAGGTAACAAGGACTCAGATTTAAAAGTGACAGATTGTGTAACGTGATTCAATTTCTAACATCTTCTCAAAAACCTAATGGAGATAGAGATTACACGGTTGTGACAAGCCCAAAATCAAAATGTCAAGTTAACTGGAGTCTTGGGCATGCTTAAAATACCTTACATCTGGTATGGTGATGTACTGCCTTAAGTTGCTTCCCTGACAGTCTAGATAAGTGCTTTTCAGCCTTTTCAGTTTGAATACCTTTTAAAAAATATCCAGTGGAGTTGCAGGCTTCTTCAGAAAAATACAGATTGCTAGATGGTGCAAGAACTTGTTTTAGTTAATTTTGTCAGCCTTTAGAAGAGGCCACCAGTGGAAAATCACTCATCTCAACTGCAAAATTTGAGTTAGAGCAGCCTGTGGCCAAAGCACTGCCTGATGTAAATCTAGACACTTCAGTTCACACCAGGCTATTTAAGTAGAGTTGCTCTGAATTGACTCTGTTGATGACATTGCCTATGTAAAAATGCTCCTTTGGAAGCACCACAGCCTTACACAGCTGTAGCTCTTATTTATGATGGAAATGCCTTTAGTGCTTTAAGACTTTGGATTTGTTTGGGGATTTTTTTACTCTTTGTTTAGCTTTACAGAGCCATCACAGCTCAGAGGCACCGAGGTGATGATTTTCCTCATGTTCATCAATAGCAGCGCTCACTAGCAGTCACTTAAACCTGAGCAAGATTGCTGAAGGTACAGGAATTACACAGGTGTTTTGGGGAGAGTGGTTTTAACATCACAGTTGAAGTACTATGCAAAGTCTAATTTTCCCTGTAAAAGCATTCTAGTATAGCTGCTGAGATGGGAGGAAAAAAACTCACCTTGATTTTAATGTTTTGTTATAAAATATTATTATTTAAATGTGTTTTCATAGGCTGTAACTTCGAAGTGCTTAAGACTACTGAGGAGAAATTTAAGTCTATTTTAAAAACTATTTTAAAGAATGTTTAGATTAAAGCCAAAACATCCAAAACAGATCAAAACACAAATTGAAAAACATCTGCAGTAGTCCTCTCCCCTGAACCTCACTTCTTTATATAGAACGTAATGATTTCTTTTCTTGCTGTTTGCAGGTGCTCCTGACCCAACAGCGGGTGCTAGCATAGATGATGAAAACTGCTGGCATTTGGATGAGGAACAGGTCCAAGAACAGGTTAAACTCTTCCTCTCCCAGGGCGGATACCATGGATCAGGGAAGCAGCTCAATTTGCTTTTTGCAAAGGTGTGTTGAGTACTCTAAACCTTCCCTTTTTTCTCTCCCCCATTCCCCAAGCCAGTCTGTACTTGTTCGCGTCTTACTCAAAAGTCCTGTTATTCCAAAACAAGACAAAGCCTTGGGAACATGATGGCAACTTAATAACGAGTTGCACAGCAATGGACCACAATCTGATGTGTCTTGAGATCATTTTAAGGATATGAAGTAACATTTCAACCGTCTGCAGCTTTGCTGCTCTTTTCCTTCCCACCCCCAAAACGTTGGAGAAACCTGTAGAAATTAGTCTTGCAGCAGTTTGCGTAATACACCTGTGAATTACTTGTGGAAGAAGTGTCTCTGAAGAATTGCAATGGGATACTGAAACCAAAAATTGTTAAAATTGGGAAGGCAAATTATTTTTTCTACTTAAAAATTTCACATCACGTGTTTAAATTACATTTCTTATTTAACAGAGGCAGAATATTTAACACGGCAGCATATTGTCTGTACTGTGATTTCTTTATTTTTTCAAGTTTGTATTAAAAGACTCGTTTCCTAGGTGCGAGAGATGCTAAAGATGAGAGATTCAAATGGAGCTCGCATGTTGACGTTGATAACAGAACAGTTCATGGCTGACCCTCGTCTGTCACTTTGGAGACAACAAGGAACTGCAATGACTGACAAGTATAGGCAGCTCTGGGATGAACTGGGTAAATGCACAGACTTCAAAATCATTTAGGTGTTCATATGTATAATGAAGAAACAATTACATATTTGGGGTGGAGAGAAACCTTATTGTGGTACTAGGTAAAGCAGGTTAGTCTTCTGCAGTTTTGCTCATTCAGTTAAGATTGGGTGAAACTGAATTTCTGATCTACAGCATGAGACAGTTGCAGTTGGAGGAGAGGAAGCATGGTATGAAACAAGTACGTTTGCAACAGGTTGTAAGTACATGAGGATCTAAAAAGAATAAAGCAAAAAGTGGAAACGTAGCTACACAACTGAGGGTAAGTATATAAGCCACTAGTGCTAAACTGCAAAGGTTAAGGAAGAAATCGATTCACAACTAAAGAGAAATAAAGGCAAAAAGAGAAGATTTGTTAAGAGTATGAGAAGATAGCAAAGAAAAGTAGAAGTCCATTACTGAGCAGGAAAGGAGATCAAATAAGAGAGCTAAAACAATTAACACTGCTTTACAGGAAAGGTCAGTTGTGACCAGATACATGACTTGGTTGTACTGCGGAGAGAGGAACATGGGATAAATGGGAAAGGAATATTTAAACTGGTAAGGTCTGAGGACACTTGCTCTAAAGTGTTCCAGAAATTCGCTAATATAGTTTTGAATTACTGCTTCAGGAGTTCTCAAAATCTATAGGAATTTGTGGTAGGGAGGAGAAATTCAAAACAACTTGAATGTAAATGTCACCAATATTTTAAAGGTGGGTAGGTGAGTGGAAAGAATATTAAGCAACCACAAGCATTGCTTTCCTAGGTATAAGGTACTGGAAAGTACCTTACACTAACCAGTTGGTGTGTAAGTGTGTAGAAGATAAAGCAATAAAAGACAACCTGATTTATTTAAAATACAGTGGTAAATCTAATTTGTTTCTCTAAAAGATAAGTCACTGAGTGTATGAGTGAAGGGATTAATGTGTTTATCTTAGCTGTAGTAAGGTTTTGGATGCTGCCTTGGAGGCTTTCTCAAAGCAAACTGAAGACACAGCCTAAATGGAATCGCCTTGTGGTTCATGGAACTTGGGAGTAGTTACCTGTGTTCTCACTCAATCTGGAAAGACACTTCAAGTCTAAGACTTAAAGGACTCTGTCTTGAGATGTGTTCTGGTCAATATTGCTATGCCTGACTTACATGGCATGGAACATAAAAATAAATATTAAATAACAAACAAACAAAAAACCTTACAGATGATGCCCTATGGGACATTATGTAAACACTGCAGAGAAGAGAGCCAAAGACCGTAATGCTCTTGATATATTTTAAAGGTCCAAAATCAAGCTAAAAAATTAAATCCAAGCAAGAATAGCATGCTTCATTTAGAAAGGAAGTGTCAAAAGGAAAACTTAAGTTTTCCACTCTTAAAGGTTAAAGATGACCATGATTGATTTGCATGTTGACTGGTGGGGCTAAGGCTGGATATAACCTGAACATAACATAAATTATGTTCACTCTAAATGAAGCACTAGGCTAAAAAAGCACTAGCTATCTAGTTGAGATTGTAGATTTCTGTGGTGGAAAGCCTTAATATTAGAGCAGGCAAAGCTCTGTCAGAGAGAGTGTAGATATAACTGCTTGCCTTCATGTGTAACAACCCTTTTAGTATCTCATTTTTATGATGCCTTGGCTTGTTGGGGAATAACAGTTTTTGCCAAGCAGGGCATGTGCTTAGCTGGACAAGTACACAGCAAAATTGTATCCCACCATACTGAAAACTGGAGGGTCTCATGCTTCGTTGCTTATGTGGGTTGAGCTGGTAGGTGGTGGGAGAGGCAGAAACGTGTTCTCCATCTGTTACCTGTAGCAGTCTTACCACATGCTGCCAATAAACATAAAAGGTTTTGTTAAATTTTTAGTGGCTCCTCTTCTTGTTTCATCAGTTTCGTATTAACATCATTTTCTTGACAGCACCTGTCTGAAGGCAAAGGAGGTGGAATCTCTCTGCCTGCAGCATTGAATAAGCAATATTTTAGATCAATTAAATTGGTTAGTTTACCTCTGTTTAATCAGAATTATAGGTGCCAAAAAGCCACAGTGCAACCTCCAGCCTCACCACTACCTCAGCTGCTGTATTTGTAATCGGAGGCAGACCCTGTTGTTTCAGTCCTGAATGCTCTGCTGCCTCTTACGGTATCAAAATATGTTGATCGTGTACCATGGTTTCAATTGCAAATACATTTCAATCACTTCAGGTGTGCAGTAGGGTAAGGGTAGAACTTAACTTGGTTCTTCCACCTCCGGCTTGTGTTTATGTTGCTAAACGGTCCATTTCTTCCCTAAAAAAAAGTAGGATTCTTTCCACTGGTGCTTAGCAAGTTCCCTCAAAATTGCTGTTAATTGGATGAATTCTCCAGCTTGACTCCTACTTTGTGTGAAAGTTACAAGCTGCTGCCATGTTTTTGCTAGGATTTTGCCTTGAGTTTTACTCAAATTAAACACATCCCTCTTTCCAGGTGAAAAGTGCATCTCAAAAAAAAAAAAGTGTGAATGTGCAAAAGTTGAAGGAGGTTTTAAGGGAGACCAGAGTTACAATAGCAAGCTGCAGAAGGGCAGAAGGAAGAGCAGGATGGCCCTGGCAACATATAATCTGTGCCAGTAGTGGCAGAGATAACTCAGACATTGGATGACGTTATCATTATGTTCTAAAATAATGTTGGCTTCCTGTCTTGTCATCTTCTAGGATGTCAGGGAACTAAAATATCAATAAAGGGAGTGAGGCAGGCCTTTGCGTACTTAACTTCTTGTTTATCTGTTCAGAGTAATCTGGGAGTGGCATATATGCATGTCTTTAAAAAAAAATGTTTTATCTATGATCTCATTTATTTCACACATAGGTAGCAATTTAACATTGTAGTTACGGAGAATTTTAGAACATAAAAAGTATGTAAATATAGACTCTGCTTAATAAAGGCTTGCTTGCTTGCCTTGGTATGCTGTCTGCCAACTGCTAGGCATATGGCCACTTTGCCAGTTCCATCTTGGCGTAGGTTTTTAAGCATACTTAAATAACTTCAGCTTTGCTCCTTGACTGGGTCACTTGAGCCTTTCATTAGAACTTAACTGATGCTTCCTGCCTGGCATTGGGCATTGGCAAGGGTACTGGAAGGACACACTGAGCTCTGATAAGAGTTTCTGCTGAGGTTTGTGGTAAATTGCTGACTTCAGTACAAGTCAGATTGGGTTTGAATGTTTGAAGGTGCTGATTTAACAAAACCAAACCAAAACAAATGCAAAAACCCAACAACAACCACAAAAAAACATAACAAAAAAACCCCCACCCAAACCCCACAAATACTTCACATCTAAGTATAAACCTTGTGATTTGCTAATATAGAGTCCTAATTCCGTAAGCAATTTATGATTCAAAAGCCTCAAGTTAACAGAAAAGCCTTACATGTAACTAGCTAGTTGTTTTTTAAAGCCTTTAGATCAGGAGGAATAATATAATAATTATGCTCAGCAGATTCCCCTGTTGTACGTAAAATAATGGGTTGAGCTAAATGCTACTTATGGAACTCCAAAGGTGTGGTATTGGAAAGATCAAGATTACAGGTCAAAGCTATAAGGCTTGCTCATATACTTCTTATACTAGAAGAATTTAGATGCAACTTCAGTGGTGCACTGGTGAACACTTCCAACTTGCCACAGTAATACATGAATGCACTTTCTAGAGCGGAGTTGGAATTCTTCATGTTGTTGCTGTTTAAGTGGTGTGTCAGTAGGTAAATTTCACATGCTGATCTTCAGGTGTTTAACTCTTGGTGACCATGCTTGAAAACTTCAGTATTTCAGAATGATTAATTATCTGAAGCCGGTTGGTTTGCCTTTTTAATTAAATTGCATTGGTAAAATGGGAGTATATAGAAATGCACAGTAAATATCTGCTGATGCCTGTTGAGGTGAGATCTCTGATTTGAGGAAAAGGTCAGTTAACCTTGCTTTGTAGTCTAGAGGGAAAAAATGGACCATGCAATCTTACTACAGCAGTAATTCGTTAATATTCATCCATGAAAAATTGAGTAAAAGTTGCTTGTTCTCTACAAAAGTGAAAAGATTTCCTTAAAAAAAGGGGAAAATTTGACTTTGTGCCCCAGCCCAGGGATCATGATGGCTCCAAGGCTCTGCTTTGGAATTAAATGTTGAGCACTGCCAGATGCCAGACATAGGGAAGAGGCTGAGTTTTGTCGGCAAATGGGATCTGCAAGTTAATTGGTGTTTTCTGCAGGCTTCTGGCTGTGAAATGAAATTGGAAGCCCTTTAGCCACATGGATAATACGGGACCTGAATACAAATGTCACATGTCACATCAGGGCCCACTGTGAAACAATAGTGTTCCCACTCGAACACTGTGCCATTACAGATCATTTAAATATGGGGATTACATTTAAACTAAAAGCTCCATTTGCCTTTTACTGCAATTTAAATGTCCTCTTAGCAAAAGCTAAGTGACAAATTAAATGAAAAAAGTGCCCACATTTTTAAAGCTGTAATGCAAAACAACCTTTTATTGCTTCTCATGTGCCACGAATGAATCATTATACTTGTCAACCCTAAACCAAGCCATAATTGGAGCAACTACTGTTATCAAAGCGGGGCTGCTCTTGTGACAGCTTAATAAAGCTGAAACTGTTAAATTAAATCCCAGATGCTTAATCTGATGAAAGCAGTCAAGTAGAAGAATCTAAGACAAGTATCTACTGCTTGGTGGAGTGATGGAGCCCAACAGCTTGTCAACACGTAGATTACAGGATCAGATACCTTTTTTTTGTGAACTACCATTTTCAGTATCTTTATATCCTCTTGCTTGCCTTCTTAGTGAAGAAACTTCACATAATTTGCATGTTTCAAAACAAACATTTCTAACAGATTTCCTCCATTTTGATATTTAAGAACTGTTTAAGGGGGAGGAGAGCTGTGGTTTTTAAGTCAAGGATTAGTTTCTTAGTGGAACAAAAATATGAGGGCTGTGTCATGGGG